AAGATGATGGAGGGGCAACAAGTAGCAAAAAGAGAAAAAGAGGGGTATAATTCTATATTTTAAATAAGTTAATTTCAAAGATTTAGTTTCTATATTTTCACCTTTACTTGCTCATTCATAACCTTATTTACTTTTATTAATGGAGGACCAAGAAATTTAAATGTCGCCGATAGAGGAAAAAGAAAAGTATTTGAAGATGATGAAGTTGAATTGATTCAAGGTGGAGAAGAGGAAGAGGAAGAAGAGTTTGATGAAGTGACTCTGGTAGATGATGATGAAGAGGATGGCTTTGATATTGACCTTGGAGATGATGAAGATTGAAATGAGGAAATGAAGGCTTTTTGGAATTTTTAACTTTGTCTAATCTAACTTTTGTTTTGTATGGTCTCTTTTTGAAACAAGTTACTTTACAAGTATAGATTAGAGTTTTGAAAAGTTTAGAATTTGTTAAGTTGTGAACCTTATTCATGATCATACATTCATAGAATCATATTATAATGAATGTGGATTGCCATACATATATATGATGTGATGTGAATTTATATAAATTATATCATAAATACAAAAATATAATATAGGATGATAGATCACGGTGGGGCTCGGACCCATATCTCTTGCCATAGAAGCGTCTTACCTATTTAGACCACGTGATCAATATGTAAAATAACATTTTCATTACTTTTAAGTCTAAATATTTCATATTTATAATATCTAAGTGTATAAATATGTTTATTTATTTATTTTTTATGTAATTTAGAAAAACTAACTGAATCTTTACGATTCATGATTCGATTTGCGATTTGGTACATGGCCATTTCGATTCATGATTCGAATCTCGATTTGACAACTATGGTCATAGATATAATATTTCATCTAAAGATGTTAAAATTGCAATATAACACTAATTCGAAACAATGATTAGGAGTTAGTATGTAAATCTACATTATTTTGTCATCATTAGACTTGAAGTTATTTTCTTTAAACTTGTAATGTGCTTTATGTGTCTAAACAATACGCACATGAGTTCCCCAAGTGATTGAAACTTGTTTGAAACTGGAAAAAAAAAAAATAATAATAATAAATAATGTGAGAAGTGTTCTATGAAGGTTGGTGTCTGACACAATCATAATGTTTTCTTAGAATTGTTTGTGCTTCTTAGTTATTTATTTATTTATTTTTAAATATATTTTTTTGGAAATTTGAAATATTTATGATTTTTTGTGCCAATCAAAAATTGGAAAATATTTTTTGGCTCATTTTGAGGTTCCCAACCAAACATAGGAGGACAAGTAATTTTTTTGATAAAATATTCCAAGAAATTGTTTTACATTGAAACAAAAGACAATTGAATTTTATCCTTAATTATGTATAGTCTACGAATGTGTTAATATCATTCTACAAAGTATGGGTACCTCAAAAATATTGTCATGCAAGTACCAAGTACTTACCCAGTATGGGAACGCGTACCAGGGACTTTTGTGGATACTTTGGGACAAAGATATAATTTTTTTTTAAAATATGGGATACTAGAAGAATTGTTTTGTGTCTATTTTTAAAACTTTAAATATAGAGGAGATTTTTACAATTATAAAAAAAATATAAAAATTACTTGAAATTCTTTTTGTCCATTACAAAAGTACTTTAATTATTTTTTACATTTGATTTTTAATTATTATATGTCATGTACTAGTGAATTATAAAATTATATTATAGTATGGATGTATTGGACCGTACCCGAACCCTACCTTTCTTTTGGTTTTTCTGTATTGATGTATCTGCTCGTGCTTCCTAGGGGGCCATTCTAGTGGTTCTGTATGTGTTTTATTGCTTACTCTTGTAAGTAAAACTTTTACCCATGTCCTGTTACTTTTGCATTCTTTACCATTTTTGATAGTTGCCTACTGTTAGTACTGTATTTGAAGGAAGTGCAAGCAATAGCAATAATGTATATATTTTTCATATAGTGAAGATTATTCGTGTAAAAGGAAATCAAGGTGTGTAGTCATGGCTTTTCTTTCATTCTTTTTCTTGTTTTTTCCCCCTCATTGTTTTAATCTAAGGTTTCTAGAGAAGCAATATGTAGTTAGGGTCCTTGATAAGCAACAAAACCGTGTGTGCTTATGAATTGGACATCTTAGCCTTCTTTATGAAGGATAGAATTGTGGTTCCTAGATTTTTCCCTCTAGTTATTTTTTAAATGCCAAAATTTAGTAAATATTGTGACTGACTTTTGACCGGCATCATTAATAATTAAGATAGAGCTAAATTGGGTGTAGTTTGGCTGTTGAAACCATTTTCTTTTATATCCCCCAACCTCCTCTCACCTTTGATTGGGTAAGTATCTTTTAATAGACTTCCCTGTCAAACCCCTTCCAGTTATGGATTTTGTGACCACATCTTTTCATGTATTTCATGCATATAAAGCAATAATGCTCATGATTCCTGACCTTGTTTGTCATGCTGTCTAAACCTTATAGTACCGTGAGGGATGCTGGTTTTTATCTGATTTGTGATCTATTTGAAAATGAGTTGGGTTTATGTTCATCCTCCAAACTACATGGCCATGTATACTTTTTAAGCAACTATTGCCTGATACAGCTAAACACTAGGAATCGTTGCCGTTAGTCTAAGCTAAAACAGAGTCTCTGGCTATGTTTATATAGCCAAAACGTGAGTTGCAGGCTTGCCCGTTTGGAGCTGGGGGTTCCACATGAGCCGCTACTAATAATCAAAAAGTTTCATAGTGAGTTCAGTCTATAGTGATGGAACGTTTCTTGCTATTTAAAGAGGGAACCATTAATTACCAAAACTCTTACGTATTTTAATTTTTATGCTGACCTTTTCACCAATTTAGATCCTTTGAATAATCATGCTGGTTTTGGTGAAAAGTGAGTTAGGCTTGGGATGACTTTGAACGTTATGGTTGCTATATCTATGTTTTTGAAGCTCAGTGGTTGTTTTGTCATGTAGTTTGGGTGAAAAAGGTACAGCTACGCTTTGATCATGTAGAGATAATTTTTATGATGGGACTCTTGGTGGTTGGGAACTGCTTTACTCTCTTTTTCTATTCTCGCTTCTTTTTTCTTCAAGGAGGTACCTTTCATCCTTCATCCCTATGTACTCCCTTTTTCTCTCTAAGCAGATTCTGACCATCAAAAGGCAAAAAGTTCTTGTGAATTTTGCTACTTTTGTACCGTCTGGTTCATGTGACATCATCATTAATGTATGATTAAATGTTTCGATATTGTATTTTATTACAACTAGTGTTTTGAGTAGATGATACGACATTTTGTTCCCTTCCGCACCTGTGTATGTGTGTGTTAGTTGTGTCACTTGGATTTGGTAATCGTGTATGGAGCTTGGATAGCTGTACTGATTGCCACTTACAGCAAACAAAAATCCTAATATAGGCACAGGCAGATGGAAAGGTTTCCCCATTATAAAAAATGTGATTAGCATCTTTATTTCTTTTCCCCCCTGCTATGATGTTGACTGCTTAATTTTGATGTGGCATGTTGCTCAGTTATTTGCTTTATTTCCTGCTAATAAGGGTCGAATTTCTATACCTGTATGGAGCTGTTACCCTTTTCTCTCAATGATCTATTGAGCCTGCTGGGATTGATTTGGGAATTCAACCCAATTGATGATTATGTTGGGAATTTTGCATTAATTATATTGTCAAGTCTTCTGTTGGTACAGGGATCTAGAAGTCCACATGGACATACTGGTTATGAAGAATTTGGCACCCTACACAAATTAGTTTTATTTATTTATTTTTGCACTAGGTTGGATGTTAACAGGTTAGCAAGTTAGGTTAGCATAACCGGCCTTTTGATGCTTCTCTGTAAGCTTGAACCCCAAACCCACCCCTCAGAAATCTAGAGTTACAACCACTTGAGCTATGCACGAGTTCTTTCCCAAGATTAGTATAATGAGATCTTAATGAGGATTACATGCACTCTGTTTAGTACAGCTCAAGTGCCTTCCTTTCTTGTGTAAATGCTAATTAATTGTTTGTGTTTGTCAATTAGAAAATATTGGCGTCCAATCAAAATAAAACAAGCATCATATTTTCACTTTTCAGTTGCCTGGTTTTGGATCTAGAGCTATGCTTATGATATCTAATTGTTGTATTGAGCATAATTTGACACTATGGAATCAATACGTAAAAGCATCCAGTAATCAGTGCAATTTTCTAAACAGTTGGAGTCTGTAGATCGCTGTACATTGTAAAGTGCATTAATCAATGTGGTTGTGGTTTTTTGTTGTGGATTAGAGCCTGAAAGTCATGTTTTTTCAAGGCAAGAGTTGTGAATGTGTTTAATTTATGGCAAGAATAATAAAAATCCAGTTCCATTTGATCGAGCAATTTAAAGCGACAGTTAGACTGATATTTAAAAAAAAAAAGGAAAAAAAATGAGGATGATGAAAAGTGAAAATGGTAGAAAGTGAAACGACATAAAGGGGAAAAAAATAATTTTTTTTTCTTGCATGCATGTGCTTAGGATGTAAATTTTGCAATAAAACAATTTGAAAAGTTTGTAGTTTGAAAGTTGCAAAAACATTGTTATATTTTACGTAAGTGTCATTATTATCCATTTTAAACGAGTGGAAAGAACTATGGCCAAATTTGGAAAGTGGCAATTGTTTTGCACATATTTTGGGTCAAAAGAAAATCTAAATTTAGGCTTAAGAGGGTTGTATAAGTTAATGAGAAATTTTACATTCCAAGACTTTCAAGGACTCCCTCGCTAAAAAAATAAATAAATAAATTTTAAAAAAAAACCCAATTTTTTTTTTTTTTTCTTTCATGCATTTTTCATCGACTATCTTGCTAATTAACCGAACCCTTAAGGAAGAGTGTATATTTTTTATGATGTTATGTTTGATGTGTATAACAATATCATGGTAGTTTTAACTAGTGGGGCTAATATTAACTCGTCTATATAGAAAATGCTTTGTGAGTGTGACCTCTAATATGCATTTTTTTTTTTTTGCAGGGATGTTTTTCAGTTTGGTCATGCTGTGAAGATATTCAGCCAAATCACTCTCTTAGACTTGCATTAGATCTTGATTGAATTAGCTAATTTGTGAGTAGTTTTCCTTTTTGTAATGTTAATTTTAGCTTGGTATGATTACGTCGTATATTTAGCAGAGCAGATTATCGTCAAACTGAATTCGAATACTGTTACTCTTCTTCTGATTATGGACACTCTGTCAGTACACAAATACACATACACAGTTGCATGTATTAATGACAGGTGGTTTAGCAGTATCTGCAGCAGTGCACACCAGTAAGTGCCAGAAAATGGTCCATTTCGGTGACTTTTGAGCTGCAAAAACATTGTTATATTTTATGTAAGTGTCATTATTATCCATTTTAAACGAGTGGAAAGAACTATGGCCAAATCTGGAAAGTGGTAATTGTTTTGCTTATATTTTGGGTCAAATGAAAATCTAAATTTAGGCTTAAGAGGGTTGTTTAAGTTAATGAGAAATTTTGCATTCCAAGACTTTCAAGGACTCCCTTGCTAAAAAAAAATTTAAAAAAAAAACCCAAAAATTTTGATTTTTTCCTTTCGTGCAGTTTTCATATACTATCTTGCTAATTAACTGAACCTTCAAGGAAGAGTGTATATTTTTTATGATGTTATGATTGATGTGTATAACAATATCATGGTAGTATTAACTATTGGGGCTCGTATTAACTAGTCTATAGAAAATGCTTTGAGAGTGTGACCTCTAATATGCATTTTTTTTTTTCGCAGGGATGTTTTTCAGTTTGGTCGTGCTGTGAAGATATTCAGCCAGATCACTCTCTTAGACTTGCATTAGATCTTGATTGAATTGGCTAATGGTTTGTATTTGTGAGAAGTTTTCCATTTGGTCTCCTTTTGTAATGTTAATTTTAGCTTGGTATGATAATGTTGGATATTTAGCAGAGCAGATTATCGTCAAATTGAATTTGAATACTATTACTCTTCTTCTGATTATGGGTTTATATGGACTTATATGGACTCTCTGCCAGTACACAAACACACATACACAGTTGCATGTTAATGACTGGTGGTTTGACAGTGCACACCAGAAAGTGCCAGAAAATGGTCCATTTCCATGACTTGGTTTAGCAGTATCTGCAGCAGTGCACACCAGAAAATGGTCCATTTCCATACCGGTTTACCAGTATCTGCAGCATTTCATCATATTCATTTTTACAGCCTCCGTATTACACATGCTGGAGTTTTTGTATTTGCATATTTAAAATTGGTTTAAAGATGCTGATTTATTTTGTGGTTGAATGGGGTGCTGTGATAATACATGCAATATTCTGTTTTCTATTTTCTTTTTTCAAAATGTATAATTTGTTTGGTGTTACTATTTTGAAAAATGCATATAGAAACCGTGTTCAAGGAAGGCATGGTTGAGCGAGGAAGGTGTTGGAACGCATTGATTATTAACTAGGCATGGGGTTTCCCAGCTTAGATTTATGTGGTTCAAATTAGGGGTGTTCGCAGTTCGGTTGTAGTTAAGAAACATCTAATTCACCATCCGTCTGTTGTATGGGCGGATTGGAAAAAATTAATTTACATCCGTTTGCCGAATTGATGGATGCGGATTGAAGGATTGGCAGATGGATGCGAATCAGTTTGGCAGTTTAAATTTTTACAAATTTTAAACATAATACAAAAACTTGTCAACATTTTTTTTGGATAATAATTTAACTCAACATAACTAAAAGATTATCAAGTAAATTGTCAAATACAAATAATAAATACATATAAGAAAATTATGCATTATTAAAATTATTTCATTATCTTTTTTATTTAAGAATTATTTAATTTGATTTTTTTTTTAAATGACAAAATTAAACCTTATTTTTTTCATATAAAAATATCAAATATCAACCCTTACCATTTGATCAAAGGATTTTTAAATTGAAAACAAATTAAAAATACAACAGAATATCTAAATTTTTTTTTAAAATCGAAAATACAAACAAATTATCTAAACAAATTGAAAATACAAAGTTTTACAAATTACTAGGGATACTTGCAGTTTGGTGGTTCGGTTGCGGCCAAAGAAATCTTAAATCTGCCATCCATCCAAAATTAGGTGAATTGGAAAAAATTAATTCACAACTGTCTGCTAGTCAGCACACATCCGTCTAAAATGCGACGGATCAATTTGATTCAGTCGGTTTGAACGAATCAAAATATCCGTTACTCACCCCTAATTCAAATATGGAGTGGTATGTAAATGTTCATGCACTCCTGTTGAGATTCATTTGGTGACTTTCTTGCCCCTTGTATTGTTATTACAGGCAATGATGTCTAGGACCATTGTAAAGTTTGTGTCATGTTTTGAACACTAGACTTCACCTGGTTTTGTTAAAAAACCAATGTGTGTTTGGTAACGTTTACGTTTTCAGTTTATATTTATAAAAGTTTTATAAATTGGTTTTTGTTTATTTTTTGTTTATTTTTAGAAAAATATAAACTACAAACGCGTTTGGTAATTGACAAAATGTTTAAAAAATGTTAAAAATATAAAAAAGAGTGAGAAATGGCAAGTGGTGGCAAGTGGCAAGTGGCGGCGGCGGCGAAAGACGGTAGTGGAAAGTGGTGACGGTGGGTGGTGGGTAGCTGGTGGTGATGGGTGGTAGTGGGTGGGTAGTGGTGGTGGGTGGGTGGGTGACGGTGGCGGGTGGTGGGTAGTAGCGAGTGGGTGGTGGTAGTGTTGGTGGCGGGTGGTGGCGGCAGGTGGGTGATGGGTGATGGTGGTGGTAGGTGGTGGGTGGTGGTGGTGGCAGGTAAGTGGCAGGTGGTGGGGGGGGGCTAGAGGGAATGGGACTGGCAGGGTTGTGTTATTGGCATATCAATTCATTTGATTACATTAAACTTTGAAAGTTGATTTGAAAACTTTCATTGAGAAAAGAATGTATCACATCATATCTGTCACATTAATAAAAAGGTATAGCTGTCCACCAAAACACTACCAAAATAAATTAAAAAAAATAAAAAAATAAAAATAAAAAAAACTCTTCACTAATAAGACTTAATAGATCAATAAAAAAAATTTAGAACTAATTAGAGTACTTTTTTTTAAAGTCCCTAATATTAAGATCTTACAAGATAAAGGACATTTAAATTTCAAAATTCTATTACTTTTGATCTAAATTTTTTTTTTTCAAAAAAAAAACAAAATTTTTTTTTTGGGAAAAAAAATCCCCAAAATTAAAAAAAAAAAAAAAAAACAGAAATCACCAAAATTTTTAAATGATTTGGCAATTGCTAAATTTTTTTGCTTCAATATTCACCAACTTTTTTTTTCTAAACAAAATCAGTCAACAACAATCAAGCAATTTCAATCAAATTTGAAGCAATCTTAAACAAATTTCAAGCAATCTCAACAAATCTCAATAAATTTGAAGCAATTTTTAAACAATAATTACTTGGATTTCAAGATGCTTGATGGATTTCAGACGATTTCATCTTCGTGCAGGGTTTAACTTGGGGTTTCAGGTTCTTTTTCATCTTCAATTTAGGGTTTCAACCTCTCTCGATTTAGGGTTTACTTGGGGTTTCTATTTGGGAGGGTTTTAGAGAATGGATCAAGATGGAGATAGAGTTGGATCTTGGTTGTTGCTTTGTTTTCTTGAGTTTTTTGTGGAGAGAGAAGGTGAGAATTGAGAGGAAAGTCATGAAGAGCACTACCTCTTGCGTAGAAAAACAAAGAGAGAGAGGCGGGGTCAAAAAAGAGGGGGGAGGTATGGATGGAGCTTGGAAGGATCTGAAACAACACTCAATTATATATGGACGGAGTGAATTATATATATAGGTAAATTTTTGTATTTTAAATTTTTTAGTGGTATGTGAATAGTGGGGTGAATTACGTTTATATATATATTTAATTTTTTTTAAAAACAAATTCGGGTAGAACGTAAATATTTAATTTTTTTTAAAAAAAAAAAATCATAAAAGAGAAAAAATAAACAATAAAAAAATATTCAAAAACCTATATTCAAACATCACCTATAAAATTGGAGGAAAAGTCGGTTGAAATTTGCCAAAATAGTTTTGCACCATTGGAGCACCATTGCTATAATTTGACAAAATAACACTATTCATTGCCAAGTTATAGCAATAGTGTCATGCCCCCAAAATTTAGTACATACAATCCATTCCATAAGATCTATGGACATAATAGAAATGATATACTTCCATTCATCAGGGTTTATATTACAAAAGAATTACATGCATTATACATTCATAAATATCCATCATGAATCTATAGCATATAATATTAGTTAATAACAACAGAATGATAATCGATTATCATGTATGTATCTGTATAATCGATTTGATGTAACAGCAGCCTCTTGGATGCTTTTAACATTCTGAGATTTGAGTGGAAAGTATCTTGGGGTTTCTATTTGCAAATTTAGATTCTCTCCATTACATGGTTTGTTGGAATTGAAGTGAATGGAGATCTCTCTAGTTCAATGCGTGACATATGGATGTAAAATTTGAAGTCAATTTTTTATAATTGTTTTTTTTATCCTGCTCGAATTTGCTTTGAAACGTCATAATCTCTGCAAATCAAGTGCCAAGAAGATACATTAATAGCTGAAAAGAACAATAAACAAAGATATATAACAGTGCATTTGTCTTGGGTTATATACTCGCCAATAACTTGACAAATTTTGGTTGTCTCAAAATCAAAACTTTTTGCAACCACCTATTTTTGTCTCTAAAAGTCTATTTATAGTGACAAATGCAAAATTTTGTCTCTAAAAGTCATTTTTTGACTTTTCTGGACGGGCCATTTGGTACAAACTTCGCGACGGAGGAAATTGGTTGGCTAAAGTTTTTCCCAACAAATATTACACTTTTAGGGACAAAATAAATTTGTCCCTAAAAAGCTGATTTCTTGTAGTGAGAGTACTGCCTCTTGCGTAGAAAAACAAAGAGAGAGAGGAGGGTCAAAAAAGAGGGGGGAGGTACGGATGGAGCTTGGAAAGATCTGAAACAACACTCAATTATATATGGATGGAGTGAATTATAAATATAGGTAAATTTTTGTATTTTTAATTTTTTAGTGGTATGTGAATAGTGGGGTGAATTACGTTTATATATATATATATATTTATTTTTTTAAAAAAAAAAAATTCGGGTAGAACATAAATATTTAATTTTTTTTTTGATTTTTTTTTAAAAAAAAGTCATAAAAGAGAAAAAATAAACAATAAAAAAATATTCAAAAACCTATATTCAAACATCACCTATAAAAGTGGAGGAAAAGTCGGTTGAAATTTGCCAAAATAATTTTGCACCATTGGAGCACCATTGCTATAATTTGGCAAAATAACACTATTCATTGCCAAGTTATAGCAATAGTGTCATGCCCCCAAAATATAGTACATACAATCCATTCCATAAGATCTATGGACATAATAGAAATGATATACTTCCATTCCAAATATCAATCCCAAGGCTAAATTTCACCAATTAATCACAAGAGAGCTTCATATTCAAGCCCCGTATTCATTTCGTAACCCAACATGGAAAGCCCCTCTTTTAATTTGAACCCAAACCCTAGTTTACCCAAAATCTCTCCCAAATCTCATCATTTAGGAATAACAACAAATATCTAGGTTAAAAATCATATTAAGGTGTAGAATATCCCTACCTCAAGTGTAGAAGCTCAAAGGAGAAATAGAGAAACTTCAAAGACGCCCAAACTTGACTTTACTTGGATCAAAAGGAAGCCTACAGGGTGCTCTACCTTTTTCTCAAAGGGAGTAGGGTGAAGAAAACACTAGATCTAGGTCAAAATGTAGAGAGAGAGTGTATTTTAGAGAGAGAGAGAGAGCCAAAAAAGTAATATAAAATGTCACTTTCGCAATCTGATATACGCACAGTCTGCTTGAGCGGAGAGTTTGACGCTCGAGCGTCAGACACAAACTTTTGTTCCGCTCGAGGGCAAGAAAAGACCCACTCGAGCATATAAT